ATCCATGAGCTGTCCAACCAATACTGAGCAGCTCTGTTTCTGCAGGTTGTTTGGAGTCTTAATCGTCTTCTCCTTCATCTTCTGTTTCTCTCTTTTCACCTTTCCCACTTTCTTCATCCTCCTCTTCATCAACTTCATCATGTCCAAATTCTTCATCCTCCCCACTGACTTCATCTTCGTCATCTTTTCCTTCTGCATCTTCATCAAACTCCTCTTCATCCACATCATCCACCTGTATATCTGAGTCACAGACTTCCTGGTCCTCTCGGTCATAGCCATCCAGGTGGGTCAGCTGAGACAGGAGCTTGAAGACACTCAGTTCTCATTCACATTAGTCACCTCACAGTTAAACAGATCCAGCCTTTTTCAGACAGTCCAACTTTTTCAAAAGTTCCAAGGTGCTGATGTCTTTCAGTTTATTTCCACTTAGGTTTAGATGTGTGAGATTTGGAAGTTCTTCTGCTAGTATGTCCAGTCCTCCATAGATTCTGTTATCACTGAGCTCAAGCTTTTTCAGTTTCAAATACTGTAAACCACATGCTTTATCTGATGGAAAGAGGTCTAAATTTAGCATATGGAAAATAAATAGGTTATGATATCATTTGTTTTATGACATTACTGTAACGGTTTTACAGTTTCAACCCTAGCTTAAAAAAATAGGTGCATTAGTCATTCATTTCTCTGTGGGGGGTCTCTCCCTCTCTTCGCGGGTCGTTGGCCACTGGTCCACGAGGGCAGGGGGAGCAGAAGCGACGAACGGAGTCAGGACGGCCAGTGAGCACTGACGGAAGAAAGCCCTTCCAGGGAGGCAGGTTCCACGACTCAGTGAAACAGAAACAGCTCTAGATGCAGTGATTCAGTGAAAACAGCTCCAGATTCAGTCAAACAGCTCCATTTATTCAGTGGGAGAACTAGAGAAATTATAGTGTGGGGGCAGTAGCCAACGCCTCAGCTGATAGGTGCTCATAGTATGCTTTATTTACATGTGGCAGTGGGCTCCTATCGTCCGACTGTCAGGCAATGCCTGATTATCATATAGAAAAAACCTGGGGGTAGTTTTTACTCCAGGTAACTTTGCCAAAGGTCACGTTCCAAATAAGGTCAGGCGTCTGTGCTTGGTGGCACTTTCCAGGTAAGCCAGGAAGAGAGCAGGAGGCCCCCTGCTGAAAAGGGGAGTCCTTCCATTTGGTGCCGAGCCCCTTAGGGCTATCCGGACATGGAGAACTACAACCCTAACAGCAGGGTTTCCCAACATTTCTCCAAGTATCTAATGTAGGAGGCACCAGAGGGCTTTGAGTCACATAACTATGCAGGTACTAAGACATTTGCCTCATTTATAGTGAGGCAAAGCAACTTGGTTTGATCTTTGGTTGTTTTTGCTTTTTCTTCTTAGCTCATGAGATTGTGTGAAATTGGTGCTGTGAAAATGCGTTTTTCTTTAACTTTTCACCTAGATTAGAATACAGGTAAATCAGGCTCTGCAAATGGTACAGTGATAAACAAGAAAAGAAATATTTAAGTGCCCGTCGTAAACCAAATACTGTGCTGGCTTGGCCAGTAGAGCTAAATAGTGGTAGTCAGTGTCCATTCTCAGGTTGTCAGAGTTTCACTTAAGCTTGCAGTGTAATGTAGAAACAGACACGTAAATAACTACTGTTTAATTTGTTTTGTTGCATTTTATGTGTTTTATCCTCAAAGCCACTGTACAGAGCTATGGTAGCTAATCAAACCTACAGTGTCTATAAGGCACTGTATTTATGTAGGTTTTAAAATATGTTCTAATGGCAGAGAGACAGAACTGACTGGGGAAAGTGTTTAACAAAGTGGGGCATTATTCCCTCCCAGGGAAAGAGGTTCAAAGAAAAGTGCTCTGCTTGAATACAGAATGAGCACTGTAGACAGGTTTAAAACAGTTTGATTGTAACACCCACAAGGTTGAGATTGATGAAGTATAGGTAAAGTACTGTGGGAATGTAAAGTAATGAAATTGCTGGTATTGTGAAATATTTGAAGAGATGATGGTTTAGAATCTTTGATTGTCCTCAGGAAAGGAAAAGAAAGGACTGAACAAAGTAAGATTTGAAATTGATATAGACTTGAAATGGGCGCAGTGAACTGGCCTTCTAAGAGCCCTTCTGTTTCTTATCAGCACCTCCAAAAGGTCCTGCATTGGCCTTAACTGCTAAAGTGGGTCCATTGTTCCCAGGGCTGGGATGGGTTGTTTGAAATGCTGTTCTCCAGGGTTACTTATGCCTGATAGCTTGACCTTCAGGGTAGGTGAAAGTGACTCTTCAGATCTGGAGAGTGGAGGGGGGCACAAGAAGTGAGTGAGTTCATGAGCTATCATCTTGCCTGAGGTATTATTAAGTATAAGCTTGTTGATTCACTGTCCAGTGTTCAGTATTCCCCAAAACATCAAGTGTAAAAAGTCAATTCCTATCTGAAATGTGTCATAGAAAAATTTACAACTGGTGGCTGAAAATAAGTGAAATCCAGTGTAAATAACTTACGGGGATTCAGATGTTCGTGAGCGAAGTCCTATCTGCCGTACTGTAATGAAGTGTGACGTATCTTGGTCAGTCGGTCCAGCTGTCTCTGAGTCTTACTATAATTTCCATCCTATCTATAGCTGCCTTGTTTTTACCGATCACTTGCCACATTATGTTATGGGGAAATTACATTTACGTATTGAAAGAATTTCACTACAAATTGAAGCACTCGGTAGCGATACTGGCTAATATTGAGTTGTGTCCTATGTGCCAGGCATCATTAAAAGCACTTCACAGTTGTGTATTTATAAAGCCATAGATAATATTGGTTCTTTTATCTGGTTATGGGGAAAGGAGTTCCTGAATGGAGTCGAATTTGATAGTAGGCAGTTTGCCATAAGATCTACACTGAATTATGATGAATCTTATTCTATGGTACTTGTATAATATGTTTGCAGTCTTTTAGAAATGTTACTAAACAGTGGGCTAGTCCAATTTTTAATAGCTATAGAACATTCTTTCCAGAAGATGGCGTTAAATTTAGAAAGATGTATGTATTTGTCTAGAAGTAAAATTTTACAGCACTGTTTTGATTCCTCCTGCCCCCTCACCACAAATCTTTATAATACTTTACCAAACCATTAGTTCCTACCATTTAGTAGGTTTAAAACTAGTAACATTGTTTATGCCTTCTCAATTTTTAGTCATAAACATTAGAAGGCCCTGGGAGTATTTTCATTGCCTAATTCTAATTATCTAATATAATGGGATTGAGTGATAGCACAGGACCATTTCTGCTCTTTACTTTTTACAACCTTGTTTCTTGTGCCACATTCAGATTTTATTGGCCTTTGAATGATGAGTGATAAGTCAGTGAATATTTTATTCTGTGTATTAAGTGTCTTGATACAACTAGTAAACCTTTAATATTCACTTTCAGAGCCTAATTCAGTTTAGATGAGCATCTAATAAGCTTGAATTTTAGTGTTAGTTTTAGAGAAGCTAATACTTTGTGTCATTGGAATCTACCATAGTACATCTCCTGTGCTTTGCTCTTTAGAAGCATCATCAGCCTCAACACCTCTTAAATACTTTTAGTAGCAGCCGGAGTAGGTGGGTCAGCCAGTTCCCAGCCACCGTATTATTGAGGTGTAGTACTGGGTAATAGTATGTATAGGTAGATATGTAGAGTATTCTACCCAAAACAAAAGACAAACAGTAAAACTTCAGTGAATTGCATTTAATAATAATCTGCACTCACCTAACTTTTTAAACAAATTGATCTGAAGAACTAATCGAGCACAGTATACGTCCTTTCAAAAAGGTTAACTTGGGCTGTAGAGATGGATCAGCACTGGCTGCTCTTACAGAGGACCTCGCTTTCAGTTCCCAGTGCTCACAGGGCAGCTAACAACCATCTGTAACTCAGTTCCAGGGGATCCAGCGCCCTCTTCTGGCCTCCACAGGGATTGCATGACATGGGTGCACTTACATACATGCAGGCAATACACTGAGACATATAAAAATAATAAAATGCATTTTTTAAAAAGATTAACTCAGATGAGGTGGCACACATTTAATCCTAGGGCTCTGACGGTTGAGACAGGAAGATAAGTGGAAACTAGCCTGGGCTATACAGCAAAAGCCTGACTTAGAATGATGTGACTCAGATCAAGAGAGTAAAACATTCTATCTAGTCATTTATAGTGCTTTTTGATCTATGAGAATTTATCTTATGGGTTTTTTTGTTCTGTTTATAAAGAATACTTGTTTTGGGAATGTTAAGTGAAGAATTAATACTTCCTAATTTCAGAGACCCTAGTTGATAAAGTAATTTAAGCTATAATTCTGTCATTGCAATTTGCCCAGATGTCCAGCATTTAGCTTTTATTTAATCATCTGTGGAACATGCTCTGGGATCAGATCTGTATTTGAATCTTTGCTGTTCTGAACGTGACTGTGGACAAGAAAATGTCAGTTTCCTCAGATAGTCACAAACATGTATTGGGCAACTGCTGTATACCAGGCTCTGTTTCAGAAGTTAAGGGCATATCAGTGAACACAAGAGATAAAAACTTGTCTTTGTGGAACCTAGATTCTAATTGGGGAAGAGAGTAGGAATCAGGAACAGAACTTTATTTTATTTATTTATTTATTTTTGGTCTTTTTGAGACAGGGTATCCCTGTAACCCCAGCTGTCCTGGAATTCACTGTGTAGACCAGACTGGCCTTGAACTCACAGAGATCTGGCTGCAGTATTTTATATTTTAAGTTGGTTTCCCTCACCCCCAGTTAAGTGGAGTAAGGCAGCTTTGTGTTTATGTAGAGTAAGTATGGTTTCTGTAATTTTTAGTGGTTTTACTTACGCTTAGACTTACAGTAAATTGTGTCCAAATTTAATAGTCATTTTTCAGCCGGGGTAAGTGGTGTCAGTCTTGTGTGACTAGAAGGGTGCAGTGGAAGGGAGCGTCGTAGTGACTCATCTGTCTGTGTCCTTTCTGTCCTTCCTAGCAGCCACCAAAAAAGACATCCAAAAAAGCAAAACCTAAGCAGAAAGCTGCTGCCAAAAGTAAAAAGTCTGTCAAAAGTGCCAACGTCAAGAAGGCAGACAGCAGCACCACCAAGAGGAACCAGAACAGTTCCAACAAAGGTACCTCAGGTTGGTGCTTGTCAGCAGCTTGGAGATACAGCTTGTGTGAAGAAAGATATTTAAATGTACATGGAAGACAGGACATTGTAACATCATTGGGGGGAAGTCGCATGCCAGTTTTCAAAGCTAACGTAAAATTTTCAGTGCATGTGTTTTAGGTAATTTGATTTTGAATTAAATTTTTTATTGTAAAATTAATAAGTTAAGCAGCGATTTATAACTTGGAGGGGGCCTAGTCCTTTTGAAAACGTTGAAAACTTAAAAATTCTTCCTGTCCTATCTTAAAGATCAGTTTATCTTGCTCTGCAGGAAGAAATGTTGTTCACACTTAGTATCTTTCTTTTAGAAACTGAATCCGAAGATAGTTCTGATGACGAACCTTTAATTAAAAAATTGAAGAAACCACCTACAGATGAAGAGCTAAAGGAAACAGTAAAGAAATTGTTGGCCAACGCTAACTTGGAAGAAGTCACAATGAAGCAGATTTGCAAAGAGGTAATTAGGCAAATACTGGTTTATTCTTTGACATGAAAATTTTTCACCCATTTTTTGTGTATTCATGTGATTATTTATTGAACTACTATATCAGGCACTCTTGGGGGTACTGAGTATAAGTCATAAAACAAACATCTCTGTTCTTAACATTTTATAAATAATAATGAATAACGAAAATGTACTTTACAGTATGGAAATTTCATGATGTGGAAACTTTTCTTGATGTATCATTCACTTGTGTTGATTTAAAGAAACTATCTTATGAAGTACCCATTCTCTTGTCAATGTGGTAAATGGCCTGTTATGGATTAGGTTTTTAACTCAGACTTGTGTGAAATTCTTTTACTCTATCTGAGGACACGTTTTAGTCTTGAATATGAATCATTAGACGTTCTATATACCACACATCCAGTTGACATTTTAGAATGGAGTTTCTTATATTCAAGTGAAATTATATAGGAGCCTAATCAAAGGTTGCTTCGTTGTCGGTGTGAAAGTGTAGGTAGCATCAATCATAGTAGAGAAAGGGTATTTTAAAAGAGGCTTTATTTTAGACACTTTGAAATGGAGTTCTTCGATTAAATAAGGGAACGTTGTGATTCTACAATTTAGGAGAGAAATGTAGACAGTGACACTACTGGGAATTAATTGGGAGTCAAGGTAAGGGGCCCAGGAAAGAAGGTTCGGATGAGAGAGAGCAAAAAACAGTGTAGAGTCAGCAGTGAAAGAAAAGCCAGAGGGAAGCCAATCTCAGCAAGAAGGTGGTGGTGCCACAGAAGAGGAATGATTAGCAAATGGGACAGTGATTAATGGGTATTTCTAGAAAGGCACTCAGAGGAAATAGACTTGTAAAACTGAAGAAAAAAACATTCAACCTTCTGTTAACCAGGGAGTTAGATACTGGAAATACTTTTGCTTATTAGAATGAAGAGAACTCTGAATATGGACAGTTTTCTTTAAAGAATGCAGAGAAACAGGGGTTCATGTTCTGAGTTGCAAGGCTTCCTAGAGGATGCCTTCAGGTAACATATTGAGTTTGAACTGCACACGACCGTTAACCTCGAAGTTCTGTTTGTAGTTCTCCATCACATCTGTACAAACGTGGCAAGTAATAGCTGGAAAATCAGAAATAACCTAAATGGCCAACCGTAGGGAAATGGTTAAACTGTGCTGCATTCTTTTGAATACTGTGTACCAATTCAGAAGAGCTTGGAGGGGACTGGAGAGATGGTTCACTGGTTATTCTTGCAGGGGACTCAGATTTGGTTCCCAGTAACCACATGGAGGCTAACAACCGTCCTAATTCCAGTTCCAGGGGATCCAACGCCATCTTCTGACCCCCATGGGCATTGCACAACATGGGTATACTTAATTACATGCAGGCAATACACTCATAACATGCAAAAATATATATTTTAAAAGAACATGGGAAAACGTACAGGTATTGTTAAAATTTTAAGATATAAAATATATAGAAAAACTCATTTATACATGTTTATGCAAATTCATCCTTTTTGTTATGGGTTTTTTGAGACAGGGTCCCCCTGTTGCCCAGGCAGACCTGGAACTCACTGTAGACCAGGCTAGCACACAGGTCTGCTTGCCTCTGCTTCCCGAGTGCTGATACTGAAAGGCGTGTGCTACCATGCCCTACTGAATTCATCTTGGAAGATAATAGCCCAAACTGATCCTGATTTCCTCTGAGAGGGAGTGATGAGGACAGAACAGAGAAGGAACTGGGTAGTTCTGGCTGCTTAAAGGGTTTCTGTTTGTATGTTAAGACTTAGCAGTTAAGGAACAATCATACAAAAGTTTTTGAGAAAATTAAAAACAATTCTTGCAGAGGATTAGTGAATGAGAAATAAGAATGTGTTAGATCTGTTTCAAGCAACTTGCAGTTAATGAGAAAATAGTTAGGAAAGGACCAGAAGAGGGCATGTGTCATGCTGAGGAGTGGGTGAGCCAAAGGAAAAGCCAGAGGTACAGGGACTTTAATGTAGACAGTTAAGGAAAGGATGTCTGGATTGCAAGCATGTGGGACATTTGAGTCAGGAGATCAAGCTGCCGATGACAAGAATGAACAGAGTCTGATCAGACTAGTTCACTATTGGGGCACTGTGAAGTAGAATGTCATGAGCTGAACCAGGTCTAGTCTTTTTAAAGCATCCTATGGCCTTGGCTTAATCATAGAAAAATGGGTAAATGGGAAGGTTGTAGTTTTACAGCAGAACAAGGGACAGTTACATTTAAATGATGTATTTTGTTTGTGGGCACAGACCGAGCCAAATCCTACCACCTCATTTTATGAATAAAGTTCTGCAGTAAAGCTGCATCTGTTTATTGAAGCAATGTATATATAGTAGCTTTGACGCAAAAGAAGTTGGGCTGCGGGGAGATAATTTCTAGTAGAAGACTCACAAGATCACTTGGATCATTATGATTTAACTGAGGAAAGGATTGAGTGTGGAGTAGAGGTTGAAGTTCAAGTCGCAGAATTAGAAGGATGGGTGATGCTACAGAAACCAAGGCTCCCTAAAAAGTGCCTCACATATAATCTAGCACAAGCGCCTGCACTCCGTTTGACCAAGATCTGGCAGGCGTTTTCCCCACTTAGACCAATTAATTGAGTCCTTCCAAGTTTTAAAGCACTCAGAGTGTTAGATTTTTTGACTTTAATATAGTCTTGTTAAGCCTACTTATTTGTAGGTACAATTCCATATGGAATCTATATGCAGTACATAGCACAAATTTCCTTTTAAGTCAACACAATTATGGAGTTTTAAATCTGCTTTTGTGTTTGTAGGTATATGAAAATTATCCTGCTTATGATTTAACGGAGAGAAAAGATTTCATTAAAACAACTGTAAAAGAGGTAAATATTTCTGTCCTCTCCTAGTTTGATCATTTGGGACATATAAAAGGTGTGTTTTGCCTATATGTAAGCGCGTCTCTGCCCCTCAGAGGCCAGAAGACGCTGTCAGATCCCCTGGACCTGGATTTAGAGTTAGCCACAGTGTGGGTACTGGGAACCAAACCCAGGTCCTCTGCAAGAACAGTCGGTGCTCCTGACCACTGAGCCTTCTCTCCAGCCCCCTGATCCTCAGATTTCTTAATAAAAATAGATGGGGAAACAAAGTTTAATCAGTTTTGGCAGAACCTGAGCCTTGATTAAGATAGTGTCATTGTGTAAATGGTAGCTTGACATCTCTGAGGTCCTCTTCAGGGCCAGTTCCTGTCTTCCACTTGAAGGCAGATCAGCAGTAAGCAGTTTTCATACTGATCGCACCTTATTTCCCAAGGTCATGGTATGATATGACTTTACAATGTATATTTGATTTTGTATGTTTGTGGCAAAACAATTTTCTGGTACAACAATTTTCTCGTTGCAGCTGATTTCTTGAGATAGAGGACAGATGATTTGTTCAGATTTGAAGATCCGACTATACCATTATACCAGCAAAGAGAATGTATTTTCTTTTCTAAATCCATTGTGTTGGTAGAACTCATTGCAGACCTTTTTTATCTTGTGTGTTGTGTATCTGAGCTTGCTGTTTTAAATTGCATTTCTGTGCAGTTTCTAGTTAACCCTTGCATGGCAGTCATTGTTCTAGCTTTTATAGTTGTATTTTGTACATTTTGGGTTTCTTTATATAAGGTCATAGATTCCTGAAGTGTTGTGGATTTTAGTGCACTTAATGGTAGCCTAAGACATACTTTTAATCAAGTAGAACAAAAACTATTATAACCAGCATTTATACATGCGAGACTATTGCAGTATTTAGTATATGAAATATTTTGAATACACCTCGCTTCTGTCAGAGTGAAAACTTAGTGGCAGTGTGTTCATTATACTAGGTTTCCAGTACAGCATTCAGGTGACAAGAGTTGGACTTTTCCTGCATGTGTATATATGTCAGGTTGTCAGCATGACAGAAGTGACAGATGTTATTTTTGTAATTTTAAAAGACAATTTGTTGTATATAATTTTTCTTAATTTTTGTTGCAAATCAATTTTTAAACATGTCTTTACACTTGTAAACTAAAAAATGTCAGTGTTGAGCCAGACGGTGTGACAGCAGTGCAGTCAGCTCAGTGAAGGGATGCTGCAGGAGCGAGGTGCTGCTCCCCGGTCAGCTCAGTGAAGGGATGCTGCAGGAGCGAGGTGCTGCTCCCCTGTCAGTTGGTAGTTGTAGTGTTCAGTCCAAGTACATTTGGCTTATGAGTGAAATAATTGCAAACTACCTTCATAATTATGGTGTCAGGTAATGCCAGAAGAGTATATATAGGCGATGTAGATCTCAAAAATGTAAAGTTAATGTTACAAATTGCAAAATCAAGGCTATTTTAAATTTTGGCCAATCAAGATTCTAGGTGATAAACATAGGGACCACCCCTGAAATTTAAACTAAATTTTGTCTAAGTTTAATTACCTATTTCTGAATTTATACATGCTGCTTGACAAAATTACATATTTGATATACCAACTGAGTGTTTAATCTTTGTATTTTAGAACATTAAAAAATCAAGTGTTAACAGGTATTTTCCACATTGACTTGCTTTATACAATTAAGACGGTAGGGAGGGAGAGGTTTGCTTAAGAGGGAATGGGATGTGACTAAACAAGAATTGGCTTTGACTTTGAAACATTTGTTATAAACCTTGGCAATAAAAATAAAATTGTTTTAAGTCTCTTGTATTTGTTCCCTTCAATGGGGTGAGGGAGGACTTTTAAACGGAGTTAGTCCCATAAATATTTTCCAGTATTATCTGACCATCTTAAAAATGACTTCACAAAACTAAGGCTAACATTTCAGTCATTTACTAGGAAGGGAATAAGTAAATTCTTAAGACCCAAAAGTATAGAGGACAGGAAATGAGGTAGCACAAAGTTGTGATGGTACTGCAGTAATGTTTATACCGAGTATTCGAAAAGTCTTAATTTTTATTTAGTTTTACACAACCAGCTATTCATGATGTGCATTTAAGTCACTAAATATTTACTGCTGCGCTCAATTACAAAACTTAAGACGCTGAAAAACACAGTAACTCAGAAGTACCACAGTTCCTTATAGAACGAAGTGTCACCTGAAACGAAGGTAAAATCAAATACACATTTATACGCTGAGTGGGATTTCTCCTAGTAGCGTAGTACAAGCATAGATTCCTAGAAACTAACTTACAGCGAACCATTTCAAACATACTTGGATTCATCACATGCTATATAAACATCTTAATACTTCAACTTTAAAGCAGAATACTTTCCTAATCAGTACCAATGAGTCTCAACAAATAACCTCTGAACACAGTGTATAATGAAGCTACTGGCTTTGCTGGGAAGGACTGTCTATCCTGTCTTAAGCTCATTGCATGTTCTTTGCATGTTTATGTTAAGCTAATTTGAATTTCAAAAAATACCTAATATTTCCAAAAGTGGCTTTGAAGTACATTATAGCCCCATTTAAAAGCAGACCAGTATAACTCAAGGAGCTGTTTAAAGACTTTTTAAAACAAAAGCGTATTTCTAACCTGTCAACTCAAGTTTCTTGGCAGAATAAGCATCCTAAAGACCCTGAAACCAATGTCAGTAAACACTCTGTGTAAGTGGGACAAGCACATTTTGCCATGTTCTTGGGTTCTAACGTGGCTTACGAAGTATGCTGTATATAGCAACAAAGATTTTCTGCAGTTTCCAGTGGACCTGCCTATGGGAAACTGCAAACTTGATTACACAAAACACGAGACTGTAAGAGTTAGTTATTTCAGAAAGGAGGGGGTTTTATTCTGACAAGATCTTTTTTCCAAATTTGAAGTGTGCTACCCACCCCAAAATGGCTTTAAGGATACAGTCTGTTTTACAGTGAAAACCACTCTGCACCCATTCTTGATGTTGTATAAAGACCCATATACATACACCGTGTTGCGTTGCTAAAGAGTGCACAGATCTAATATCACAAAATATACCTGAATCTGAGTTTGTTTTTTGAATACCCAATGGAAAGATGTGTAGTATAAAACAGCCTGGAAGCTTCATATCACCTTCAAATTGTATCAAAAAAGAATGAATTGTAAATTTTAAGGAAGCTCAAATATTGGAACTATGTAAAAATATTAAGGCTCATTGGTAAAGGTACTGATAAATTGTTAAAGAAAAACACATGGCTTAATAGTGATTCCTGCTTGGTTGACTTGATTTTACAATGTATGAAAAGTAATCTGTCAACAAAAATGTCAAATCTGAAGGGAACCCCCAACTGGAAGAATCATAGCCCAGGTCTCAATTTTAGGTCCTACTGTGCCAACTTCTGAGATCCACAAGACTTAGCACTAGTTGGACCCGTGGAAAAATACAATTTCCTATTAAGTGCCTAAAATGATTGAGGGTCTGATTTCAGGATAGCAAAATGGGTTTATATTTTCATATCACCACAGAAGCACTTCATTGTCACTTCTGGAAGAGACCTCTGACTACTGAGGTTTAACATGTTTCAGCTTCCATTTGGGACCCAGAAGGAGACTAGGTCCAGACCAGCTACTTAAAAGGCTGCAATCTTGCTTGCTTCTCGGACACCACTCAAATACGCTCCTGTGACAGTTTGTGGAAAATGCCGGTTTGTTGCCTGCAAAAAAAAAAAAAGATTGTGCATAAAGAATTCAGATGAGGGCTGGAGAGATGGCTCAGCAATTAAGAGCACTGACTGCTCTTGGAGAGAACCCAGGTTCAATTCCCAGCATCCACATGACAGCTATAAACCATCCTTAACTCCAGTTAATCCGAAGCCCTCTTCTGACCTCCACGGAATTGCACGACACGGGCACACTCACATGCAGGCAATACACATTAAAAAAAATTTTTTTTTAATTTTTCAGACGCAGCTGAGTGTGGTGGCACACACCTTTATGTCCCACCACTTCGAGGCAAAGGCAGACAGATCTGATACGAAGACCAACCTGGTCCATAACAGGAGATCCTATCTTAAAAAAAAAAAAAACATGCACAAAAATCCCAAACCATCAGATAACAGATACATTTTCCCTGGTCCTCCTAAAATAGATTTGTGCCATTCCTGAGCGCTCACCCTTTATAGCCTTTGAGTCTGGTTATCTTGCCAGATTTATTTCTTCTACAGCATGTATTCAGGGACTCCTGCCAAGTACTGTGGCATTCATGGAAAATACTGTCTAGGACAGTGAGGTAAGTAGCAGGGACATCGTCGACCACAGAAGTCCCATGACGGCTAGAACACAAGGTACTACCCTAGGAAAGCCAGAGGTTCTCCATCCTGTTCGGGACGCTGTGGCACCATACCCTAAGCTACTCCTAGAGACAGCACGACAGTTGCCAGCGTGAGGCTTATGCTCCACTTGCACAGCGGGCTTTTCCTCCCAAGCACAAGGGTAATCCAATGCCAGTTTAAGATGGCATTTGGGTAGTCAAAAATCAGATCATAAAATCGAAAATCAGAGGAAACCAGCAAGGAAAAGAAAAATTCTAAAATCCTGAGTGAAAAGCCAGTGAGACAGGTGAAGCCCAAGGACACCGCCACTGAACAAAATGATCAGAAAGCACAGGTAGACATTTTAAAGTTGAAAACACTCCCGAAAACCAAAAAACTCCCTAAAGGTAGAAAATAGCAAAGAAAAATCTGGGCAATCCAAGAATTTGAAGAAGGAAAACATCTAGGAATATAGGAAAACAAGAAAGTGATCAGACATAAGCTGTCAGGTTGAGACACTAGCTTCTAAGTGCCAAAACTGAAAGGCAGCATGGAACAGACCAGAAATCACGAACCTCAAGGAGAGGATCTTAGAAGCCGAGACCCAACACTGGAGAATGGTAAGGAGACCCCCACCACCACAATAGCCTGTAGTACTCAGGTTAGTGGCCATCAACTGGAGCAGATCCAAGAGGACTCCAGAGTTCTGAGATGAGACAGAATGAGATGACTGAAGGGAGGGAGGTGGAGCAGAGCACCACACACAGCAGGCAAGGAGGTGGTGAGCAACTGCCAGGCAAGCTGCACGGATGAGATCCGGGAACCCCGAGCCAACCAATGCCTACACTGCACATGACAACTGAAAACGTGCCTCACCGGGAATCTCACTCAGGACCCAAGGCTGGACTGCTGCAAGCTGAGGCCAGCCTGGACAACAGTGTGAGACCTGGTCTCAAAAGAAGCATGGACACCAATCTAGCCAACAGCTGTCCTGAGAGCAGGGTGCAGAGTGCAAATGGGCTCCACTGTCGGCACGACAGAGGTGAAAGTGTTAAATCACACAATGGCAACACGCACAGGCCTTTCAAAGGCAGTAAGTACAGAACAGATGCTCTCACAGGACACTGGAAAGTTAACAATGGCTGCCACTAGGAGTGTGAGGCAGGCTTCCAGTACAGACAGGGCTTCGGAGGTTTGCTTGCTGTCCAAGATTTGAGAGTATCTGATTTCATCTCTAAAACTGAGCCGATACAACTCAAAAGTAATTGGGTCTGTAATCGAGGTACACACCTCACCAGCAAAATAGACAGTCCCTTGTATTTCTTCAGCAATGATGTCATAGGCCTCCCCACTTCCAAATGTCTTCACAAAGCTGTATGCCATCTGTATCCACGGCTCTGTGCTCCACCGAGTGACAAAGAACTTTGTGGGATCTGGGACTTCCTGTGTGCACACAGAAAATTATAAAATAAGATCAAAAGGAACTTGGATACCCAGTCATCCAATTAGAAATGGATGGTTTTCCCTTCCCTCCTAGACCAAGTTCCCTGCGGTGGCCTCCCGGGCAGGACGTTCTCACTGTTTTCCCGTGCCCAGTCGCACACTTCTGTACCTCACCTGCTAGACACATTCTATTCACCTACCCACCATTACCAATGGCTGACAGTACAGAAAACGTGCCTCACCCAGCGAGGCTTACGGAAATGACTAGTGGTATCACAGGGTCATAAGCTGAATTCTCATCAGGCTTCCCACAGAACCACAATACAAGGTTATGTTTTAGTTACTAAACTTAAATTTTGTCAGCTGGTCTTTGACAAGCATTTACAAGAAAAAGAGTTACCTAAAATCACCCTGTTTCCACATTACTAAAACACTGAGGAGAAAACCCAAGGTGAGTGCCAAGTGCCAGAATCCCCATCACTAGAACCTCTTAGGAGTACCAGCAGCACAGCTGTGTGACCTCTTTATCCACTTCTATTCCCGCTCTTAATTGGAAAAAGACAAGCACTGGCTACTCCCAAATCATCAAATATAAGGTGCCTTGAGCTCCTTGCAGAAGAAAGATTTTATACATAAAGCACCAGAAAATTCTAGAAAATATCCCTCTTTAAAAGGAACATTGTATATGGGCCAGTGAGAGGGATGGCTCAGCAGGTAAAGTTGCTTCTGGCAAGCCTAAAGACCTTAATTTTTTCCTGAAAACACAAATGAAGGGAAAACTGACTACTCCAAGAGGTCCTCTGACTGCCACAAGGACACCTTGGCATGCACACATGTACTCACACAAATGTTTTAAAAAGAAAAGTCAGAGCTGCTGGGTTTGGGTGAACTCAATCTGTAGAAAACACTGAGCCTTTTCCAGTCTTAGGAAAGGAGGGAAGTATGATTGGTGTGGGAGAAAAGACTGTCACGCTGTGGACTGCATGGTGGCCCACCAAAATATGCAAGTTGCAATCCTAAGCCCTAGTCCATCAGAATGTGACTACTTGGAGACTTGAGTTGTAAGAGTTGGTAGGGTAGCCTCGAGTCAGTGATTAGCATCTGTCCTTATATCGAGAAAACACAAAAGGAAAAGCAATGCTGCAAAGCACTCTGTAAGCCCAGAGTTCCCTAGAGACCAAAACCCCTCCAACACCCTGACCCTGGCCCTCTTGTCTCCAGAAGTATAACACCCATTTCTTCTATCTCAGTGCCTGCACTGCAGCACCTTGCTGTGGTAGTCCTAAGAAACTAAGCAGGCACTTGGGTGGCAGGAGGGTGATTGCAGGAAGAACACTGCTCCAATTCCCGTCGTCGTGCTGGAGATGGCATCGCCCCGCCTGCCCAGTAGAGCACGTTAACAAGCACGTCCTGTGGAGAAAGGCCTCTCTGACCTGCTCCTTGAAGAGCTCCCGGAGGACGGCCATGCACTGCTGGAGCACCTGCTTGTCATCCAGGGTCCTGAGGGACGCCACAGCCTCCCCTGTGATGACCGACATCAGCACACTCTGCTGCTTCTGCAGGGAAAAGTACAGGCGCTTTCTGCTTTAAAGGCTCAGTTCCAGACACACATGGGCATCAACCTCACACTGAATCTCATTAGTTCCCATGGTCCCTTATCCCCATGTCAATCCCCAAATCCTGCATCCATTTTCCTCACATACATATTAGTCATCCACCCAGTCTATCATTTCTCCTCAGGAAGAGGGGGAAAAAACACACACACACTCATGAAATAGCTGTTTACGATATTTTGTCATATCAGAAGTAGCAAAAAAACAGAGAAGAGAAACCTGGAGGCACAATGAAAACAATCCTCACGCTGCCACATGAAACCTGAAGACAGTTTCTCAGAACTGAGAACAGCTGGGTCATGTGGTGTGTCAGGACAGCTGCACGTATTCCCACAGCTTTCAAGTTCCGGCCCACACTCCTCTAATTTCCTCTACCTTTCAAATCTGACATCACAGTCCTCACATGAACTGACCATGGCCCAACCCTTCCAACTCACTAGAGACCAATCAGTTTCAGTCACTCATTTACCACACTGTTGCTGACTTTTTAAGAGGAATTCACTGCTCAGCCTGAAATAAACTTTCACAAGCACCAAGTTGTACCTCAGGAAGCACCATTAGGAAAACAGTAGGAGAGATGGCTCAGTGGTTAAGAGCATTGGCTGCTTTTGCAGAGGACCTGGGTTTGAGTCCCAGCACCCATATGGCAGCTAACAACTGTCCTAACTCCAGTTCCAGGGGATCTGACACCCTCTTCTGATCTCTATGGGCATTGCATGACACAGGTGCACTTATACACATGCAAGTAATATTCATAGACAAAAGTTATTAGTATTAGTACTTCTTTCCCAAAGGAAAATGTCCCAGTTAATGAGTCTTCCCAGAATATAAACTTCTACCAATAATGTACACAAAGCCAGGTATGGTGGCACATACTTTTATTTAATTCCAGCACTGGAGAGGCAGAGGCAACTCGGATCTCCGAGTCCCAGACTAGATAGGGCTGGGAGACCCTGTCTCAAAAAAGCAACAAAACAAATGAATATATACAACGGGCTGGAGAGAAGGCTCAGGGGTTAAGAGCACTTGGTGCTCTTGTAGAGGCCTGGGTTCAGTTCCCAACACCCACAGGGCAGCTCGCAAGCATCTGTAACTCCAGTGCCAGGGGAGTTAACTCCCCCTCTTCTGGCCTCTAAGGACATTACATGCTTGTGACATGCTTCTATACATGCAGGCACAATTCGCATACACACAAAAATAATCTACACAATATTCATTCATTTCTGAGGTTGGCATGTAATCAACAAATCCTAACTTTTAAGAAGAGAATGCAAAACGCTTCAATTTTACCTGGGGATCCATGTCATAGTAAACAGCAAAGAGCCCTCGCTGGCTGGCACTGGGAGGAACATGTCCAAAAAAGTCAGCCCCTTGAACTTTACTGTCCCAAAATCTGTAAGGAAACTGCAAGGCAACCTGGAAGGTAAGCAAGAGATGGCTTGTGTCCCATGCTGCAATCACAGGCCACCTCTGGAGGCAACCTGGAGATCTACCGGGAACCAACACCAGCTTCAAAGCCTCTCTGTCCATTCTCCCCACCTGCTTAATCCTTCTGAGCATCCAGTTTATCTCTAAGTTATATACTACTCAAAAGGCTTTCCAGGATCTAAGGCACTGGCACACTGCTCAAGGAAACCATAAAGGCAGAAAAACTAACCACTGTGCCGGCTGGGACTAGCACCGAGGGTAGACAGGGGAAGCAGACTAACAACTGCTTATAGCAAATCCAAATCTGAATAACCAGGTTTATTGTCCTGTAATCCCAGCACTCAGGAGGCAGAGGCAGGGTGATCAGGAGTCAAATCCATCAGCTACAAAGCCAGTTTGCAAATAGCCTGTGGGTGGGGGGTTTACTGCTTTTCCTAAAAGTCAAACTAGAATTCAGCTTTTGAGTGTTTTTGGGGTTTGTTTGTTTGTTTGTTTTTAATGCAAATTACATCAAGACTTCATTTTTTTTCTTTTCTCGGTGCTTTTTATTGACAATTTCATAAGCAAACATGTACACTGTCTACTCTTGAACCCTTTTGTTTAGATAATAACCTTTTGTATTCTTCATGTGTGATTAGGCAAAGAAAATCGTTTGGCTTTTATTTGGCTTTGAAAACAACCCACCACTGTACCCTATCACATGTGAGCTCCTATCATCGGGAATGATCTGAAGCTAAGGTAATCTAGGTCACCTTCTCAATGATGCCTGCGCCCAAGCTATTAATGGCTTTCATCTTCTTCTCTGACAATGGTGGAGTGAACTGGATAGCACCTTTCTGTAGTATGGCCAGGGGTACAGTGACTAACACCTGTAGAAAATAAGTAACAGTTAACACACCCACAGCTAAACCTACTCACATTTCTCAGCAGCTCGTATCAATACTTGGCTATTCTCCACTTTCAGTCACAAAATTGTCAACATCCCACTTTCTGTTGTAAGAACAAGGGTACTGTGTAAGATCAGACAAGTTGTTCACTGAACAAGAGCACACGTCTGGCTGAGCAGAAGCAGCAGCCACACAGAAATTTACATGCAGATCCTGATGGCTAGCAATAATGCTGGTTCAGAAGTACCAGACCTCATCCCATAAAAGCAGTGCTCTATATGGAAATGGCCCAGCCAAGCATCATGGCACACATTTGTAATTCCAGGACTGGGGAAGTGGAAGCAAGAGGATCATGAATCTGAGGCCAGCCTGGACTACATAGCATGCTGCAGGCTGGCCTGAGCTGTATAGTGAAGCCCTGTCCATAAAAAATAAGAAAAAAAAAAAAGAGCAAGCCCAAACACAGTCGGCTTGTTCTATTGTTCAACACTCTTAAACATGGCCAAGCCTGCCACTCATGTTTGCCAAGTGTAAGATAAAGGGAGTGCCTGCCCCTACGGACCTTGGAGGACCAGAGTAATAAATAATAAAGCACATCACATGCATCAGAGATTGTAACGTTGTATAAAATTTTTTTTTTACACAGGAAATTATTTTCTACTAGGTCTCAAGCAGTTTTAAAAGCAAAGCTGAACCTTTAAGAGTGACTCTCAGCAAGGTGTGGTAGCACAGGCCCATAATCCCAGCACTCAAGAAGGCTGAGCCTAAACCAGGGGTGAAAACCAAGGAACTAGAAAAAAAAAATCCTCAAGGCTGTATCACAAAGCCAGGCTACCAAAGAAAACTGTTGCCTCACCTTACAGTTCAGGAGGCTCTAACTCTAGAACCACTGCTCAACCACAAAGCCACTACCACCATTACCAGGATCAATCAGGCCACATACTGAACGACCTGCACCAGCATAGCAGGTGCCTTGTACCCTGGCTGGTGGTTCTCTGGAACCTCTGCCTCCCTGTGGCAAGGAACAAAGCAGCCTGACCACTGTGTTGTCAACAGAGGCTGCAGCAGTAAGCACACCCAGGCTGCACAACTAGATCTCAAGCAAGGGTGTGAGACTGGCTGGGCCTTACAGAAAACCTCAGCTGCAAGGGAGCCTTGCAGAAGGTCAGGAGGGAAAGATGTATATATCTGCCTTTCAGTATCTGCAGGACTAGATGAACACTAGGAAGCAGGTAGAATCCAGTTGAACTAAACATACTCATCTACTCTGGTCTTCAAAGCCGTGTATACTTGGCTTAACCCCAATTCCAGAATCATAGAAAGTCCAGAGTTCTTCCTGTGATTTTTTTCACTATTTTCTACCACCTGAAAGTCTTAGAAAACATACTTCCTTCTAAATAAGTTTATAATCTATTCACAGAGAATAGCAATCCAAAGCAATCACTGCCAAGCAACCACCACCACCCAGTTGACATATGTACAAACTGCAATGAAATAAGTCAAACCTGGAAGTCTTACTGACAAAACTTCCAGAAGTACAAGATTTTGATTAAGAAAACAAGTCAGTGGTATAAACACACCCTGGTGGGGAAATGAGGCTCGACGTCTTTGGGAACAGACTAGATTGAGTTATAATCTGTCATGGGTTTTGTTTCTCAGGCTAGGTTGGAAAGCTTTCACTCACATGATAGAGAAGACTTCCAATACAAACTGTGATGAGTACTAGGAACACAATAAAAATATTTGCTTTAAACATTTCAAAGTGCAGCCTGCAGCTCTGCCATGATTTGTCTGGAAGGTCTAAGTACAAAGGATCAAGAGTGCATGTGCCCAGCCAGCACGAGCAGAGGGTGACCAGGCAGGGGAGGCACAAGTAGCATGTCATCCCAGACCCCAGAGGAAAAGTCATACAACCCCACACAGCTGAAACAATAGTTGGGCTGCAATTTCAAAAGGTGGTATTAAAACAGACACTGCTGACCAATAGGAAGACCCTTATAAATCAGGAGCCCCCAGATAAAGGCACTGCATCCCAGCGGCGCCCAGCCAAGCTGCACACAAGAATCACATGGGAGGCTTGAAAAACATGGCCAGCCCAATCCAATGAGAACCTCTGCAGGGTGCAGTGCCATCCATTTGTCAAGCCCCTCCCAGGTGAGTTGGACCTACAGCTCAGGTTAAGCACCAGTCCTAGTCCAAGGGCTGCTGGCAAGAATGGTCTCAGCACCCCCATCCCAATGCGACTTTAGACCCTGTACCATGTGACACACAATCCTTTATTTCTGCAAGAATATCCACTGAAAAAGTGTCAGATAACTGAAGAGAAAGCAAAGCTAGTCTGGGAATGGCTGACAGTTCCATGAGTGAGAGTTCATCAGCACCCCAGAAACAGCCCAGCTCTCAGGTTTATTACATCCCTTCTACTCCCAAGTGACTGCCTTTATTCTCCAGCACTAGACAGCACGCTGAGATTTCAGGAATTAGAATCGGCACTGCAGGGCACCAACTAAGGCTGTTTACCCAAAGTTTGTTAGAGTACTTAAGTTACATAAAGTATGTCAAAATGAAAATGTTTTTCACAAGTAAAATGGGTTCCTTTAATGCAAAACATCTCAAAGCTTTTCCAATACTCCTTTTAACCAAAAATAGGGTATAATATTTATTTCCCAAACTTCTTTGGCCAAGGAATTGGGGGTGAGGGGGAAAGGAATTGAAACTGGAATTTTTCTTGTTCAAGGCTTAGGACCAATGTACCATGGAACCCACCTTAAGGAACAGAAAATTCCATTTGCCAGGACTTTAGATGGTGTTTAATTAAATCAGATTTGTGCATAAAACAATCAGTAGACAGACCTAATTCATCAGAAATCTACTAAATCTCTAGGCAGACTGCCAAAGACAAACTGCTTGATAGGAAAACACTGCCTTCCTTTCCCAAAGGCCCCCTGGTAGCAAGGAACTCTGCCCTAGTAGAATCCAAGAGCCTACCTTCTGCGCAGAATGTCCTGTGCCATCTGTCATGGTCACCTGCACTTCATCACCAGTATAATCAATGCTTTGCACCTACTCAAGACAAACATATATGAAGGAACCCCAAGGGCCACAACCACAGTGTCAGAGCCTTTCCAACTTTGAGTACGCACTTTGCTAAAGCTATAGGGTATCCCTGTGCCTGGCATGCAAAGCTCAAGAGTCGTCACAGCTGAACATGGAATTAAAATTTATAAATAGGTCAAAATATGGAAAACTTTGTATTATACCATAAAGTGAACAGACAAATCATCCCTGCAACTACAACAGTGTAGGTCCATAGGGATGAAGACCTGAAGGGTTGGATTTGGGGTAGAGAGGCTGTGAGCTACTTAAATGTTGTATAATAAGTGAGCATGTTCCTGGGCCACTATGGTTTGTAAACAATAACCATCACCTAACTGGAAGCTGTGCATCCCAGGCTACATTTTTACTCAAAAGTGCTGGAGACACCAGCTTCTAAACAAATACCTATCTCCTAGGAATCACACGCCCCAAACTTTGCATTCTCCCCAAACAAGGCAAAAAACAGAGCCTCCCATCTGATGATACTCACTGGAGATTTGAGCCGAATGTCTAACCCTTCAGCCAGTTTCTCAATGATGACAGAGTACCCAGGTGTTAGAAGAGTGTGGTCACCAGCAAACTGGGCAAAGAATTCATTGTGATCCCAGGAGCGAGCAGACACCTGGGAAAAGACAAGATTTTAGGAAGCCACAGGCCAACCCTCAGCTGAGCCTGCATTAAAAAAAGCTCTAGGGGCTGGAGAGATGGCTCAGCGGTTAAGAGCACTGACTGCTCTTGCAGAGGACCTGGGTTTGATTCCCAGCACCCACATGGTGGCTAAGAACCATCCTTAACTCCAGTTCCAGGGGAATCTAAAGCCCTCTTCTGACCTCCACGGCATTGCACGACACAGGTGCACTCACATACAAGCAGGCAATACATGCATACATACAAAATAAAATTTTTTTAAAAAGCTTTGGATGGAAACAGCCTCCCCAGGCTGGAGGGGTGGGCACAAAGCAAAGGACTAGTCAGCCTAGGCACCACTGTGACAGAAAAGTTTCCTTTACAACAAAAGGCCTAGTCAGGCCTGGTGGTTCACACCTATGTAATTCCAGCACTCAGGAAGCTGAAGCAGGAGGCTTGCCATAAGCTACAAGTCAACTTATAGACTAGTGAGTGAGACCCTGTTTCAAAGAAAAAAAAGAAGTGGACAATATCTGGGATCAGCCAAGGTTGCCTTCTTGTCTCCACATGTACATGTACACATATGCACATGACAAAGATCGGGGGCATGGGTACCACTCCTTGAAAAACAAGTTGATTTTATACATTTGGCAAAGGCAAAGTCTGTGGTAAAACTGCATCTGACCAACTCCACAGGTAAATATACCAACTTTCTGTTCATCAGAATTCCATGGAGGCCAAAACTCAGCATGTTTGGGAAAATTGGTGTGATGCAAATTATACTGCAGAGCAGGGTGAAGGGGAGGTACCCTCAAGACAAAGTCTATCATCCAGGGAGCTTCCACTAAATACACTAAATACAGTGCTGAAGTGCTAGGTTCACAACTGAGTTAGGCAAGCTTACAATTTACAAGACAAAAGCTGAGCATGGTGACATACATCTAACCCTACCTATGGAGCTCTGTGAGATCTTGGAAGGCAGTGGCAAGTGGATCTCTGAGATCTAGGCCAGCCTGGTCTATATAGCAAGTCCCAGGCCAGCTGGGGCTACAGGGAGACCCTGTCTCAAAATGACAAAAAAATAATTTACTACAAGACAAGCAGGTCATAAACAAGGCTGCTTTTTTTTTTAGATTTCTTGAGAGCAGTGTTTTCAGATACCATGGTTCCACTAAAATGACTCCCAGGTTCTCTGTACAGGGCAAGGACTGACGTGAAGGGGTGAGGTAGTCAATGAACAAGGCTCCTGACCCCTGCTCTGGTTTGGCCCAGCACCCTCCTCCTTTCTTGGGTTACACCAGCCGAGCTTCTTCATAGGCAGTATAGTACCTATAATCCTGCCACTTGGGAGACTTAGGGAAGGAGCTTGAGTTCAGGACCAGCTTGGCTACAAAGCAAGTGTCTCTCTTGACACAGAGCCAGGTGTGGTGGCACAGGCCCATCTGCCAGCACCTGGGAACTGGTGGTAAGCTAAGCTGCAGCTACATGGCCAGCTCAAGGCCAGCCTGGGTTACATGAGACTCAAAAACAGGGAAAGAGCTCAGTGGGTGGAAGTGCTCATCTCAGGAGCCAAAGGACCTAAAATTCGATCCTCAGAACCATGGTGAAAGCAGAGAACCAACTCCTGAAAGTTGTCCTCCGATACACACGTGTTCTGCACTCACATACATTAAAAACTCAAAAGAAAAAAAATTACCATGGAATTAACACACTATGGATTCATGGCTATGAAACTTCCGGGCAGAAGTTCTTCCTTGTTTCTCCAGAACAGCCCTAGTTCCATATTTATAAACACAATATGCATATACTTAAGTATCTACTTAAGTATTGTCTTTGTGTGTGCATACATGCATGTAGGAGTGTCACGCACACATGTACACATGTGTGAAGAGGCTGGGGGTTGAGTGTTTTGCTTGATTGCTTCTCGATTTTTGAGACATGTATTCAGAATAGAGCCCCAGTTGGCCTGGAACTCCTTGCATAAACCACCTCTGACTGGCCTTGATCTCAACAAATCTCCACCTGCTTCTGCTTCCCAAGTACTGGGATTAGAGGTGAGTGCTACTACGCTTGGCCACCTTACTTTTTGAGGCACGGTCTCTTATTGAACCTGGGGCTCACCAACTGTCTAGGCTGGCTGACCAAAGAGCCTCTTGGAACCTCCCAACTTCCCAGCACTGAAATCACAAGCACATGCCACCACATGTGGTTTTTTCATGTGTGCTGGGGAGCCAAACCGAGGTCCCTCATACTTCTGCAGCAAGACATTACTGAATGAGCCATCTCCCCAGCCCCATGCGTATGAATTTTCAAACCGTTTCAGAAACCCCAGCTTACCTGGTGCAGGTTGCTGCCACAGGCATATTCCAGGTTACTGAGATGGAACTGCAGCACCTGTCCCTCCAGCTCACTGAACTGGATGCCAGACTCCTTCACGAAAGCTCTGTAGATCTCCTCTATCTTCTCTGTGGTGGGAATGGATCAGAGCAGCGAATCAGCTGTGAAGTAATTCTCTATCCAATTCCTGATCCTGTGGCTCACAAGATGCTTCACCCCAAAGAGCCCCAAACCTTGTCTTCTCACGCAAACTCGGGATGGGATCACTTGATACAGCTCAATGCTCAGCAAGTCAAAGCTGCTTTCTTCTCTGTTGAAGATGTGGAAAGCACCACCCTGCACGTGGGTACACAGTCTGACTGCATCGCCTGGCGGTCAGGCTCTTATAACCTCTCCCCGCACCTAGCAGTACTGTAGACTGACCATAGCTGCTGTCTCCTCTACATAAACACTGTCCTGTGGACTCTCGTCGTGCACCTGTCTTCCTCAGTACTCTTCACTAGTTCCCTATTGCCTGGGCATTAAATTCTAAAAGCTGGGCAAGGTGGACACCCATTAGGCTCTCCAAAGTAGCAGCTGCAACCCGCCACGTCTAGGCTTGGCCAGACAGCTCAACTTTTTTGATAAATTCCAGCCTCGAAGGACTCATTTTTCCCACTGTCCATCATAAAAACACCCTCCTGTGCCTGGTCCTTCCATCCTTTACAATCTCGTATTACCTAGCCATGGCCTTGGCCTCCCAAATGCTGCATTACAGGTGTGTGCCTCCATGCCTGGTTCAGCTCTTATTTTGTATTTATGTTTGCTTTGCAGACCTTCAATCCCAGCACTTATCTATCCCATATGAACTGTACAGACATCCCTATGAAGCTGCTCCGATTATCATCTTAACTGGACAGTAACTAGAAGGGGTACCTGGAGTCTGAGGGCTCTGGCCTCATGTCTAATCCCAAGCTTCTTGGTATAGACTGCTCCTGCTTTAGGGATGACAACCACCCAACATCACAGATCCAAGTTTCACGTGCCTGGCTAGAAAACAGCACAGCACCAGTTCTTTGTTCTCGGTGCCACGTCTACATCCAGGGCCTTGCGTGCAGCAGACCAGCATCTACCCCTGAGCTACGTTCTTAGCCTTTGGGTCCCGCCCCCCTTTCCTTGTTTTTTGAGACAAGGTCTCAATATGTATCCCTAGCTGGCCTGGCAGTCACTATGTATAGACCAGGGTGACCTCAATCTCAGAAATCCACCTGCCTCTGCCTCCAGTGCTGGGATTTAAGGCATGTGCCACCATGTCTATCAGTACTTGGTTTTTTGAGACAAGTTCTTAGTATGTAGCTCAGGCTGGTCTAGAACTCAAGATCCTGACTCAGCCTTTATACCCAGCTCAACTTTGACAACTCCAATTCTCATTAAAATGTTGAGCTCTTATATGGAAGAGATCTAGGGAGCTCTGGGTTTGTGTCAGGCTTCTGTCCTAGTCCCGACCTCTTGGCCACTTACAGTGCCCTCTACAGCAGCCCTACAATCAGCTGACATGGTGTCTATAGCAGCCCTAACACAGCCGGCCAAGACCATCTCTGCATTCCTTTCCAGTGTGTCACAGGGAGAGAACCATGAATGTTACAGTCCAACATAAAATTAAGCATATTGCTGGGCGCGGTGGCGCACGCCTTTAATCCCAGCACTCGGGAGGCAGAGGCAGGCAAATCTCTATGAGTTCAAGGCTAGCCTGGTCAACATAGTGAGTTCTAGGCCAGCTGGGGCTACAGGGAGACCCTATCTCAAAAACACCAAAAAAACAAAACAAAACAAAATTAAACATAGACATACTAAACGGGGCCTTAATCACATCTTTAATATTTTAAACTTTAGTACACATCTCGGTGAGATGGCGTCTAGCCTCTCAGCACTTACATGTACATGTACACACAGAGAGCCCTCAACTATGTACTGATACCAACAGGCAAAATGCAACTATAATCTTCTGCAGAGCTATGTACGTTACCAAAGTTCTTAAAATAAAATACTAAGATAAAATAATTACTTACACAGTATTCTTGGACCTCTCAAACCTTTGTAAAAGGCCAAGGAAAAGCAGTTCCAGCAAAAATTTTATTGGTAACTCAGAAATCTAAAGAGAAGCAAGGCCAGGGTCTATCTCATAGGGGCAAACCACTGAGACTATAACCAGGTGTGGTGTCGGTGACATGTGCCAACTTGAGTCCCAGCATTCTGGAGGCTGAGGAAGATTGCAAGGTCAAGGCTGGCCTACACAGTGAGAAGCTAAAATTCAGAGAATTCTTTGCAGTCAGGCTCTCAATTTCAACTTGAGAGTTTAACAACTTATCAGGTGGCCTGTACACTACGAGTTTGGTTCAGTGGATCCTGTTAATTGGGACTGTATTTCTGGGAATGCACTGCTATGGTTTGTTATCCAAAACTTTCCAAGGATGGTTAGAGAATGGTCAGAGTGCTGGAGAAAGGGCAATGAGTCAGTGATGGTTAGTTTTAATTGTCAACTTGATACAATGTGGGCACATCTGTAGGAGACAGCCTCGACAGCCTGATGTGGGAAGACAAAGCGGGCAGCCCGTTCCCCGACTATGTTAGAGAAAGTAAGCTGAGCAGTAAGCGTGCACGTGCTCCTTTCTGGTCTTGACTGTGGATGTGCTGTGACCAGGTGCTTCAAGCTGCTGTCATGACTCCCTGCTGTGATGGATTGTACATGAGCTATGTGTTCTATTACTGCAACAGAAACTAAACACATACCCTGCTACTGAAACAGAGCAACAGTATCTGCCTGAAAACTGAGGGCCCTTTTGTGAAGAAACGTTTAGTTGAAGGTGATTAAGAGCTTGAAGGGTTCAAATGTTGACTCTTCAAAAGATACCAGGCCTTCAAGAATAAATGCCATGGATCACAAAATTGCAGGTCACATCAGTGTAAACATGAGAGGCAGTACACTAAACCCCAGCTGGTGCCTTCAAGGAAATGCGTCACAACGGGCAGCCAACCATTCTAGAGCTGTGATTACTACTGCCCTAATATTAAAGTGCCACAGCTGAAGCACTCTGAATTAAGATGTTTACACTAGAATGTACATTCTTAAAGCCAATCATACTGGGAAAAAAAAAAAAAAAGTCAGCCTATAAAGAAAACCAAAGAAAGAAATTCTAGATAAAGGTTTCTGTATACCAGAAAGTACAAAATGGGCTGACAACATATTCATAGAGCTCACCAGTCTCCTTAAAAGTCAACTCCTCTGGGAAACTGAAAATTTAATGTTTAGATAATTTTGTTAAGGGGAAATACAAAGTAATGTTCATGTGTATGTGTATACCCATGTACACACAAACGTGCACACACACACGCACACACGAGTGACAAAAGCCCCAGGAAAGTACCTCCCCCGCTGAAGTTGTGAAGTTCTAAGAGCCCTAGGGAATGAGTGTGAGGACAGGACCTCCAGAAGACAGATGGAACCATCACACCCATTCTCCCCATACCTCCTAAAGGTACGTCTTGGAGCAGACTCTTATCCTTCCTCCATTCAGAGACAACATCCAAGAGAGCATTAAAATGAAAATCCATGCGCTTGTCAATAGTGGGGTCAGTAATTCGTCCACCTTCCTGAATTAAGTCACATCTTTCTCCAAACTTATGCATGCTGATGCCAAGCTTCAAAATAAGAACAGTAAGGTGAAAGTTTTCTCCTGGAAAAAATATTTACAAGTTCTAAGGTGAAATTAAACAGCTCCCATGGAGAAAAGGATCTGGTAACTTGTAAAGCTTGCTGTGTACAATGGGGATGAAAGCCAACTGAGACAGAGATGGCACAGATTCGATCACACCACCACTGAAAGGGGTCATGCAGCAGCAGCGGTTGCTTCTGGGCCACACATGCTCAGCCCCCAGCTCAGGGCTAAGATGCTATGGGCTGCCTATCCTAACTGAACATGTCTCTACCTAGACCCTCATGCAAATGAACACACTCATAGAAGCCAAAATTGAGTTTAATAAATCTTTTGGGGGGAAAAAAGAAAACCACTTTGGATCTACAAGGCTGGTACAGGACAGGATGCCCAGGTGGGTCTCAGAAACACCACACTAAAAGTATTCATTACATCCCATGTGTTACATGCAAATTCTCTCATATTTGGGACATATCTGCACTAAAGATAAAAAAAAAAATGTGTGTCTGAAAGTCAAAGAATCTTATGTTCTTACCCAAATCTAGCAACTATGATTATGGAGCAGCAAGGCCTGCCCTGCAAAGTACCCACAAAGGAAGACCTTGGAAAAACAATATAAAGATCTTAGAAAAACAGTCTTTTAAATGCCTAGAAAGAAGGGTGGACATGATCTTTCTTATGGAATTTACAGCAGGGTGAATGCTATGCACTCAGGAAGCATACCAGTGCTAAGGGCGGAACACAAATCTCACATGCTTGGCTGGTGCTCTGCCTCCCATCTGCACCCCCAGCTCCATGTTAATGCTCTATGCAAGCAAACAGACCATTTTTCTTGTCCACAATACACATCCTAAAGGCACTCACTTGCTCGCACATGAGTGCTACAGGGTTATTAACACAGCCATTGACTATCTGGGGTCCTCTCCCCACTATGACGCCTTTGAAAGACCTGTCATCCCACACTCGGCCTCCGATTCGGTCTTTGGCTTCCAGGACAGTCACCTAAAAAGACAATCAGTGCATAAAAATAGAACACTCATACCAGATACAGAATTACACACACAGTGACACTGTTTAACATCCACCGTGCTGCTTAATTGATCATATTTCTTGACAACTTTTGTCAGCGGGTGTAAAGAAGCCAAAGTGCTTCTTCAAACAATCCGGACTCTTGAGGAGTGACCGGGTGGCCTGCAGGAGGGATTCCTTCCAGTCTCCTCTCAAATCAGGTAGGAGTTGGTAAAGAAGCCCAGTGTGCTGGTTCACACCTGGAATCTCAGCATTCTACAGACTCTGAGGCAGGAAGATTGCCATGAGTTTGAGGCCAGCTTGGGCTATACAGTGAGTTCCTGGTCAGTCCAAGCTATACAGTGATGCTCTATTTCAAATAAACAATGAAAGGGAGGAAGAAGGGAGGAGAGGGAGAGAAGACAACAGATATGGTAAGTACACTGAACTTTGAAAACTTACTAAACTATGCCACAAGTTAATTTTAATAACTTTTCAATCATCTGGGGGGGGGGGGAATGTGTGTACATGTGCACTCTACCCTATTATCTGAGACAGGGTCCTTCACTGGCCTGCAGCTCTCCATTTCAGCTGGACTGGCTAGCCAGCGAGCCACTGAGATCTGCCTGTCTCCACTCTCCCAATGTGATAGGATTACAAGCACACGCGACCATGTCCAGCATGTGAGTGCTGGGGATGCGAACTCAAGTCTTCATATTTGCACAATAAACACTTTATCCGCACAGCCACCCCCACAGCCCTGACTAATTACATTAAAATGAGTTTAAGCCAGGCATGGTAGCACTTGCCTATACCCCTGGTACTCAGGAGGCTGAAGTAAGAAGACCGAGGTGGATGCCATTTTGAACTACAAAGGGATACCCCTCGTGTCTCAAGCAAAACAAAAGCAAAAGGTGAGTGTTCGAGAATTTTCCCATGAAATATCTATACCCAGGCTGTTTCATCTCCAAATTTCTAATGCCAACAGGATGCACAGCTGCTCATGGGTGGGCAGACAGGTCTGCTTCTGCCTCTAGGATTCAATGTGCTCCAGCTCCTCAGGCTGAATTAAGTGGAAATCTGAGGCTACTTCCACCAAAACAAGCCATTTCAGTTATGGATCCTTAGAAGACTTTAACTTGCTTGAGGAGGTTCCCCAGCTCTTGGTTAACCACTTCTCAGTTACTCAGAGGAATCCATTGTCTAACCTTGGGGGATGAATGGCCACCTAGGGTAGGTCATCATTTGGGCAGAGAAAGGAGTTCTCTGAGCAGCCTTCCCCAGACCTACTACTCTTTATGTCTCCAGGAAGGCTACAGCTTGTGGCTCCACCTTCTGCTTTCAATGTATCAGTGAACTACTCGCTCCTATTTCTTTGTAAGAGAGCCGAGCATTCAACACAACCCGCCTAAACTTTAGCACTAATAACCTTCCCTGTAATATAAGCAAGAAACAAGAGATGCTGTCCCTGACACCTAACCCTGAGATGACTACAACACTTTCTAGTTACTATCACACAGAACCTACTTCATACTGTAAGCACTTCCTATAAACCAACTCAGATTTTTCAGTTTTCCCAGTGATATGTGATCCACAACTTGGGCCCTCCATCAGTTAAGGAAAAAACCCAGGCACATCTACTAACACTCTTCTCTAAAAGTCTGAAATTTGTTTATGGGAAACTTTCCTGGAAAGACAATATTGTAAAAAAAGGTGTCATTTCCTTCAGCCAGATAGAAAAAAATGAAGATTGAATTCCAAATATATTTACTTTTGACTTCACTGAAAACCAAAGTCCTTACAAGGTTTTAAATTGAAGACAAGTGTCCAACTTAGCAAATCAGGATTCTAGGGGAAGGTTCATTTAAATAGGCATAAAAATCAGATACTGAATTGTACTCTATTACCATAGCTTCTCCTTTGGCTAACTGAACTACAACAAAGCAGCATCCCACAGGAGCACCCCACCTTTCCTTCCAGAAGTGAGCTCTTACACATCTACCCTTCTACCACAGTCACAGAATTCTATGTCAGTCAATGAATTCATTCATCCCATCTTGCTTCCAAAAGCAAAGGTTTTGGGGGGTTTTTTTGTTTTATTTTCCTGAGTAAGATTCAAAGAGGTCTTTGGTCTGCATAAGAAAATCGGAGAGATGAGGCTGGAGAGTTGACTCGGTAGTTAAGAGCACTAGCTGCTCTTGCACAGGACCCAATTCCCAGCACCCACATGGCGGCTCACATCCATCTGTAACTCCAGTCCCAGGGGATCTGACACCCTCTTCTAACTTCCATGGGCATTGCATGACATGGGTGCACTTACATGCTGGCAATACATACAACATAAAAAAATAAAGAAAATCTGAGATGACAGGGCAGAATGCTTGCCTAACATATTTGAGGCCCCAGGATCAATCCTCAGCAGAGAGGAGAGGGAGGGATAGGGAAAGAGAGGGAGGGAAGGAAGGAGGGAGAAGGAAGGGGAAGGGTAGAGGAGGGAAGAAGGACTCTAGCCAGCTATTTCAGAAACTTTCACCAGGAGATGGTAAATTCCTATGCTGTCTTATAGTCCCAAACTTTTCTATCACCTCTACCGCCTTAATGATAACATGCCAAGAACTGCTTTAATTCCAAGTACTTCTTCCGAATTCCTTATCAGAGTCTACTACCCTCTCCAAAGGGTACAACCCACTCAGCCTGAATTGGTTTCTGATGCTACAACTTCTCTAGGATCTACCATAAAGACAACACATGGGCCAGGCATGGTAGTGCATGCCTTTAATCCCACTAGGGAGACATAAATAGGCGGACCTCTATATCGAGTTAAAGCCCAGCCTGGTCTGCATACTGAGTTCCAGGCGAGCCAGCGCTACACAGCGAGACTGTCTCAAACAAAACAGAAGATAATGTGTTTATCATTCCTCACTAAAATTAGGAACTGGTTTCAAAGTCTTAGAAAATTTGGACTAAGGAGCAGTGGACCATCTTCCCACCTCTATGTCCCAAGAATCTCACCTTAATTCCAAAGTTATGGAGTTGCCTGGCAGCTGCCAAGCCTGCTGGACCAGCCCCAATAACAATAACTGATTTCTTCAAAAAAGAAAACAAAACTCCAGTTAGAACAATGGTGACCAGGTACTATTACACTTCTGGAAACTTTTAAGTGTTTCATCTGCTTCTTTGATGTCATTAAGATTGATTTTCCCACAGAATACAGTGGGGTACTTGTTTTTAATAATCCCACTCTTCCTGTGGCACGGAGAAACTGTGCTTACACTCTCCTACTGGGAGAAACCTTCAGGCACCCTGTTTAATGGTAATGTGGTTCCTAGTATTAATAGCAGTAAACCAGTGTTTTATCATGAGTGGCAAAGCCAGTTACCTACATTGTGGTAATCTTTAGGAAGAAGATACTGGTCAGCTCCCACGGTGAGAACTCCGGTGTTAATGAGACCTTTCCTCGTCATAAAATACAGAATCCTCTCCACTTCCTGAATACATCGGATGCGCACAAGCCCCCGGACAATGATGTGAGGAATACACTTCTGAGGAGTGAGAGCTTCCTATTTACAAATGAAACCAAAGTCAATAGCAAGCAGGTAAATTTAAAGGGCCAAGTAGGGACTGCGGAGTGTGGCTTAGCCATGGAGCACTTAGTGTGCAAAAGGCCTTAGGTCTGACTCCCAATGCCTCCAAACCAAATTTAAACAAAGGTCAAAGGATCTAAACAGACATTTCTCAAAAGATATACAAATGGTCAGCAGCAACATGAAAGTGTGATCACCACCACTCACTGCCAAGGGAGTGCAAACTCCTGTGCAAGTGTCACTCCCCCTCACCTCCAGTTAAAAGATGGCCGTTGTCAGAAAGATACAGCTCAGTTCGCAGATGCTTGTCTGCCAGGTACAAGACCCTGGGTTCAATCCCCAGTACCCCACCGCACCTCCAAAACAAAAGCTAGCAAGTGCTGGTGAGGACACTAAGTATTTACAACCCCAAATTTAAAAGTTGATATTCAGGGGCTGAAGAGTTGGCTTGGCATTTAAAACATGATGTTCAGGGGCTGAAGAGTTGGCTTGGCAGTTAAGAAGACTGACTGTTCTTGCAGAGAACCCGGGTTTGATCCCAGCACCCACATGGCAGCTAACAATTGTCCTTAACTTCAGTTCCAGGGGCATTCAATGCCTTCTTCTGGCCTCTGTGGGTACTGCACACACATGCAGGCAATACACTTATACACAAAAAAATTTTTAAAGGGCCAAATATTGTATGAGTCCACTCACAGAAAATATCCAGAGCAGACAAGTTCATAGAAAGCTGATCAGTACTTACCAAGGCCTCGAAGGTGTGAGGGTTCCTGGGTACCCCACACACACTTAATACACAGGACTGCATGCTTTACAATGGTTATGTGTTTTACCATTAAAAAAAAAAAAAACCCACATGCATCATTTATAGGAAGAGCAAAAGGAAAGTTTCCCTGGCAGGGAATCTAACAGGAGAGAGGAGCGAGGAACAGTGGGACACACCTGTAACTGGCAGCATTGGGAGGTAGAGGCAGAAGAGTTAAGTCTGCAGTAAGTTCTGACTGAGTTATGTAGCCAGGCCTGTCTTAAAAAGAACTAAACTGAAGAGGCTAAAAAGATGGCTCAGCAGTTAAGAGCACTGGCTGCTTCTGCAGAGGACCCCAGTTTGGTTCCCAACATCCACATGGCAGCTAACGACATCCACATGGTGGCTAACAACCATCCATAACTCCAGATCCAGGGGACCCGAGGCTCTCTCCTGGCCTCCCTGGGCATTGCAGGCAAAACACCCATAAACATAAATTTTTAAAGAGAGAAACTTGCAACTTATATGTCAGCACCGAAGCATCTGCTCACCAAAAACAACTGCGATGAGGGCTGGAGAGTGGGTCCCTTGGCCTTCCTCACCCAAATCCAGTCTCTGCTGGCACTGGCAGCAGGAAATCTAGCTCCTGTGACTGATGAGACTGAGGGATGACTTGGAAATGTATAAAGACACAGGCTTTCTTTGGTCACCCTCGCCTTTTAAGACCTTACTCCATCCATTTCAGACTGAGGCAGAACCAAACCACTAAGTCAGCCCAAGACAAGAACCAAGTAAGAACTGGCCCAAGGAATTTCCCAGCATTTCTGTATCCCCAGCCCCATTCCACCAGAATCTTAAACCCAGGAAGAGGATGACACACTCAAGAAATTCATGTACAACCTCAGCTCAGCTTGCTACTAAAGATAAATCTGTCCAGTTTTAAAAAGTCACTGCAAAGTCTTTTTTTTTTGGTCTGTTTTTTAATATTGTTTTATTTTATGTGTATGTGATTATTGCCTGCATGTAGGTGAGTGCACCCATGTTGTGCAATGCCATGGAGGTCAGAGAGACTGTCGGATCCCCTGGGACTGGAGTTACAGTTAGCTGCCATGTGGGTGCTGGGAGTCAAACCCGGGTCTTCTGCAAGAACAGTGTTCCTAACAGCTGAGCCATCTCTCCAGCCCCTGTTGGTTGTTTTACATGGTCTCTCTGGTCACAGCCGACCTGGAAGTCACAATGTGAACCAGGGTAGCCTTGATCTCATAGAGATCCACCTGCTTCTTCCTCCCGAGGGCTGGGATTAAAGGCGCACACCACCACACCCAGCAGTCTTTGATTCTTTCAAGGCATGTAAACATAGCAAATACTATTCTATCAAACATTAAGATCCAAGTAACAAACTTTCCATTAGGTTTTTCTCTATCAGTCAAATTTCAAAGTCAAATGAAACTAAGTGTGAATAATGACATACCAAAATGCCAGGAAAGCATCTACTTCTCTGTATACTGACCCTAAAATCATATTAAAAACCAAAGAACTAAAGAAAAATAAATCCAACGTTGTTTCTGCTAAGCACATCTAAGCAACCTATATACTAGAAATACCCAACACAGATTTGTGCATTTCAGCACCTGGTGAACACCCATCTCCAGTGCACTGGGTGGGAAAGAATTGTTTCCTCCCTGTCTGCCTATTCCAGCAGCTGGAATGAATCATACAAATCGCATTGGCAACCGGAGTCAAGGAGTCACCTCACCTCACACTGGATCCTAAGCCCATAAAATGAATGCCAGAGGAGATTTGAAATTTTTAAATTTTTATTTAAAAATTTTATTTTTATTTTATGTGTGTGAGCGTACTGCCTGCATGTGAGAGCACCCATGTCATGCAACGCCAAGGAGGTCAGAAGAGGGCTTCGGATTCCCCTGGAACTGGAGTGAAGGACAGTTTGTAGCTGCCATATGGGTGTTGGGAATTGAACTCAGGTCCTCTGCCAGAGCAGTCAGTGCTCTTAACCACTGAGTCATCCCTCCAGCCCCTGAATTTTAATTTTTTATGTGTATGAGTGTTTTGCCTGTATGTATGTGGGTGTACCCATGTGTGAAATGCCGGTGAAGGCCAGAAGAGTTGTCAGATCCCCTGGAACTGGAGTCACAGATGGTTGCTAGCCATCATTGTGGTTACTGGAAACAAAACCAGTGTCTTCTGCAAGAGCAGTCAGTGCTCCTCTTACCTGCTGAGCCATCTCTCCAGCTTTTTTTTAAAAAAGAAATCTCATGTATCTCAGACTGGCCTCAAATCTGCTATGCAGCTGAAAGTGACCCTGAACTTCTGATTCTCTTCTCTCCACTTCCCAAGTAGAAACATTACATGCTGGGATCATAGGTGTGCACCACAATGCCCTCAACTTTTGAAATGGCTTTCTTCAAGACTATTTTGTCAAGCTGGGAGTGTCACATCTTTAATTCTGGCACTCTGGAGGCTGAGACAGACTGCTGCAACTTCATGGCTAGCCTGGTCTACACCGCAAGATCCAGTCTCAAAAAAAGGCTACTGTGAACTTTGCCAGTCTTGTCCCATAAAATATGTGCTCAACAGTGATTCCAAGAGTTGCTGAAAAATTAATAAAAAACCTAGGCTCAGACTTTATTTTGTGCATTTTTTAAAGCCAGGCATCCCTGCTCTCCTGCCTCCAATTTACCTTTACTCTATCAGGTCTGTTGACGCCCCAAATATTTGTGCAATGCAAAGGTAAAAGTACTGGTCCTACTGGCCTAGACAGAGGTGGATAAAAAAAATCTTGGCTTTCAGGGGTTTATAATCCATTTTTTATTTTGTTCTGACCTCCTGGCTATACTCCTGTGGTTCCTTGGATCAAACTTTGCACCTTGCTCAACACAGAATCCTGACCACACTTACTCAAAGTGGAACTCAGCAGGGGCCAAACACCACCACTTGGAAACGCCTAGGATCACACAGACTAAGCATTTCTAATAGGAGAACCTGAAATCCAAAGTGTTTCAAAATCACCGACACAGCACTCAAGTTTCAGATGGCAGAGCTTTTTAAGACTTTTGGGTGGGGATGCTCAGCCTGGTAAAGCCTATGCAAATATTCTTATATTAAAAAAAAAAAAATTCCCACAAGATGAGGCACTTCCTGTCTCAAAACTGTTTGGATAAGTGGTGTGGTACTCAATGTGTGTAGTTGTCACAGTAAGACAGTGTTACTGGAATCTAGTGCCCACTAGGCCAAGGATGTAGCTCAATATCCACCGTGTATAAAAGACAGCCCTGAATTCCCTGCCCCAAATGTCAACAGTGCTTTGGCAGGAAAGCCCTGATCTACAGGCCCCATCCCCACATCAGGCACTCCAACTCTGTCCCCAGCTGTGGCCAGCACACCCATACCTACTTTGCAGTTTGTGTACCACAGGGCCAGAATGAGGTTCCTCAGAGCCAGGTACATAGTGGGGTCTCGAGAGTACTCTGGAAACTCGTAGAGTTCATCTAGCTCCATCACATCAGGCCTCACGCACAGGGCTTTGCCACACTCGTTGGGCTGGTAGAATGGCTGGAAATACCGGTTCATGCCTGGAACTGACAAGTGACATGAACACGCAGCTTCTGCAAACCGTGACTTTCAAATCGTGGAGAGTTACAGAGCAAAAACAACCCAGAAGGATGGCTTGGACGAGTTCCAGGGTATCCCCGCCAAGTGTGCACACAGGACAAGCATCTGTCCTTTAGTCACCATCTCAGCCCAAGGTGGGAAAATTAAAATCTTAACTGTGTTTAAAAGAATTCAACCTTTGGGGCTAGAGAGATGGCTCAGTGGTTAAGAACACTGACTGTTCTTGCAGAAGACCAGGGTTCGAATCCCAGCACCCACATGGCAGCTAACAACTGTCCATAATTCCAGTTCCAGGGGATCCAACAGTCTCTTATGTCCTTTGCAGGCACTGAATGACACTGGTGCGCTTACCTACATGCGGGCAATACATGTATACACACAAAAAATAAAAATTCAACCTTTGAACATCTGCTGAGCCATCTCTCCAGCCCCTAGATACTAGTTCTTAACACAGCTGGAAAAATGCTTTAAGTATTGTTTTCAAATCTGCTTTTTAAATTTCTTATAAAAATTTCCCATGTCATTAAAAATAACTTCAATGACTATGAGATGCCCTTATTATTTAACCTTGCCCCCATCCTGGGCAGTTAGAGCTCACCCAAAATACTTTTGAAAATAGTGAAAATATTTTATTTTGGGGGTATGAGTGTATTTCCTGCATGAATGTAAATGCATCTGTGTCATGCAATGCCCAGGGAGGTCAGAAGAGAGCATCAGAGTCCCCTAGAACTGGAGTTACAGATTGTTGTTAGCACTGTAGGTACTCGGAACCAAGCCAGTGCTCCTAACTGCTGACCATCTCTCCAGGCCCTATTTTCACTGTTATAAGCAACGCCACAGTCAATTTCTTTGCACATAAAAGCTGACTGACTCACCTGGTCTCTTTAGGATAGATTCCTAGATGGCACTGCTGGGTTTACAAGTCCTACTGTAAGGTCTCTCCTATATACTGAACTAACTGCTGCACAAATCAGTCTCAGCAATTGAGAGCCTATCTTATATACACCTCGTCAACAATGGGAGTGGTCATGCTAGCTTGGCTCTTACCTCACTGTCATAGTGTTATCAGCTGAACACCTTAAGATGAGGCCTCAATGGGAAAAAAAAAAACTACTTTCACCACAAAAAAATGTGGCTTGTTCACATATAGATGAAGATAGAGGATTTTAAAGATTCCTTTAAAATCAACGAACAACACATCTGCTCTAACTTGAAATTCTCAATTTTTTGAGAGTAGCTCACCAATGGCATTAGAGGCAAAAAGACTGGGGGCGGGGGGATGGAACAAAAACAAAAACTAAAAAGCAATGCTCACAGTCCAAAACTTCCCTCTGGAAAATCAGAGTCCATGAAATTATACAGCCATCCAATTTTCAAATGAAAACTCATTAAGCCCAGTATTTAATGCACAGGTTGTATACAGGCTTACTAAGTTAACTGTACATTATATACTAACGGTATGATAGCCCCAGAGTACCATTCTCTCTCAGCATCCTCAGGGAATTGGTTCTAGGACACTCCACCCCAGTCTATCAAAACTCACCTATGCTCAAGTTCCTTATTTAAATGGTGCAATGACTGCACAGAACTCACATCCTGGTGCTTTAAACCATCTCTTGTGGACTTTTAGCACCTAAGACAATGTAAATGTTATTGAAATAGCTGTTCTGTGTCATTTAGGGAATGATGCAAGAATAAAGAATACAAGGCTGGAGAGATGGCTCAGTGGTTAAGAGTGCTTGCTGCTCAACCACAAGGACCGGAGTTCCAATCCCACACCCATGTCAGGCAGCTTATAACCATACACATGAAACTCAGCTCCCAGTGATCTGACACCATCTTCTGGCCTCCAAAGGCACCTGCACACATGGACATATACTCAGACGCCTACTTTTCCCCAAAATAGCTTCTACCCAGAACTGAGCAGGTGTGTATGGGGGCAACCACATAACCCAATGCACTATAGCAACCAGAGTTTTACGTCATGTCTAATATACAAGTTTTCTGAGTTTTTCTTATCCTTGTATTTCCAAGGAGGGGGGAGGGGCTGGAAGAAGGGGTACCAGAATGGCTCACCAGGCGTAGAGGGGGCCGCCTTGGAGGGCTCCATCTTTCCAGGGCTGGAACTGTTGGTGGTGGTGACGGCACGGTTTGTGCTGGTGCAGGATGGGCTCATGCCCACACAGTCAGGGTAGTAGGCAGAGAGCAGGGGGGCGGCCACACTGTCTTTAAGCAAAGGAGGCTGGATGAGCATGGAGTACCACCAGTGGTTGGAAACTTCCGACACTCGCTGTGATGCACCAGTGAGAGAGAAAGGCAGAGGGGAATGTACATGCAGACCATAAGGACAGGTGCTTCTCTCCACAGCTCCCCCGACCCCCAATGCCCAGACTTAATGATGCTGTATCTGAGTTTTCATACAACGACTCTCACAAACAGCTGAGGATACCCAGACCATCTTTCTTGGGCAAAATTCTTTCCATGATGTCAAAAGTCCCCCCACCCCAAACCAAAAGAACTCACCAACACTAGGTAAGTGTGTGCTCTTGTGTGTGTTATGTGTGAGGCTATAGAGGCCAAAGGTCGATGTCAAGCATCCTCAGTTGCTCCCCATCACATTTAAAAATATTTTATGGCTATGAGTGTATTGCTTGCATGTATTAAGTGCACCTGTTTCATGTAATGCTTGCGGAGGTCAGAAGAGGGTGTCAGGCCCCCTGGAACTGGAGTTACAGACAGCTGTTAGCCACCATGTGGGTGCTGGGATCAAACCCAGATCCTCTGTAAGAGCAGCCAGTGCTCTCAACTGCTGAGCCATCTCTCCAGCTCCTTCATCTCATTTTGAGACAAAGTCTGAGCCAGAAGCTAATCTGACTGTAGAATGGCTAGCCAGCAGGCCCTGGCATCGTCCTGTCTCCACTTCCCAAGCACTGGGATTACAAGTTTGCACTGTCGCACCCGGCTTTTATGCGCACTTGGAGGCTCAAATTTAGGTCTTAATGCTTCCATGGCAAGCGTTTTACTAACTGGAGCCATTCAACCCCTGGGTGAGTCTTCAGAGCTGTTCCCGTGAACTGCAAGACTACCTCTAAGTCTCAAGTAGGAAACACTTCTGCCCTCCAACTGTCTATCCCGCTTTTACTAGGGAATCACAAGATAATGGAAAATGAGAAACTGGACCATGAAAACTAACTCTCCTGGCTGGACATGGTGACATACACCTGTAATTTCCAGCACTTGGGAGACTGAGGCAGAAGGGTCTTGAGTTAAAGGCTGGCCTGGGCTACACAGCAGGTTCCAGGCTAGCCTGAGCCATACAGCAAAACCCTGTCTCAAAAAGCCACCAGCAACATTATTCTACTACAGTATTACTGCTGTTTCCAAAGGCTACAAAAACAAGAAAACAAAACCAAAGAAACCTTTCAGAAGGAAAAGTGCACTACAGTCATAAAAATAAGACGCCAAATGCCAAACTAAACAAAAGCCATTCTGAGTCTTCAAATGTGATCACATTCCAAAGGCGACTTCACATCCAGTCACTGGATTAAAACATATGCATGATGACTAAGGAATGCAACAAAAATAAAACTCACATGGCTTCCAAAGCAACACCACAATCCTATGTTGACAGCCTCTGCTAAAGGCGACTGAGCCATGTACTCTGGCAATTCTAAGACAGAGAAGTGCCTCCTGGCTCAGGGACCCTTTGTTGCTAGTTCTGCAGGCTCCAAACAAATGCCACTTGCCATGACAGGTGATTCTAGTTGGCAAAACAAAACTAACCACCGCAGCAAGGACGAGGTTGTGGCAAACCTGGGTACTGGGGAAATAGCTGGGGTTTTGGTACAGCATGTGCTGGCCAAGGATAAGCGATCTTCTACAGAGTCCAACACTGGAATGCTCGCCCTTTTGCTGTGAGCCCCAAGACTCATGAGACACGCCTGGCCATAACATGCAGCTCTGGTGTCTGCAGGCTCTGCCCTCGGCACTTGTGTAGACATTCACGTATCCTTGGCCAGCACATGCTGAACCAAAACCCCAGTTTGCCATAACCTCTTCCTTATTGTGATGGTTAGTTTTGTTTGGCCAAGTTTCCACAACCTAGAATCACCTGGACAGCGTTCCAAATGAGGAACTGTCAGGTCAGCTCAGCCAATGGTCAAGCTCAAACCAAATCCCTCATCACTGTAAATCAGGACTGGAATTTTAGAAACGAGATTTTCAAAATCATTCAACTGGATCTGGTTACATGGCATGTGGAGTTTGCCAACTCTGGCAGCAAAATTTGCTGGAAACTCCTGGAATGTGCCAGGGCACAGCCAGCTGACACTGCTCCCACTTCTATACCTGGGCAGGAACAGGGCAAAGTGGCTACTTTAATGTCAGGAAGCTCAGGAGCCTTCCTGCCAAGTCCTGCCCAAGACAACCCAACCACCACCATCTTGCTCATCCCTGGGAAGGACACAGTGGAAGGGTCACAGCCATTCTTGAAAAACAAGTGCAGCATGTCTGACCCCTGCAGTGAGGCACAAGCACTGTCTTCCTTTTTGTTCCCCATGTGTGGATGGAATATATACTGCATATTGCTGCTGCTGCTGCTGCTAACTACCACTACGGGCATTTTCACAATATAGTCACCAGTTCACAGTCAAAAGTCTTTGATTCACACACAGTCAGTGGGATATTCAAAAACTGTCAATCAATTCCTTAGTGAACTTATCATCGAAGGTCCAATGAACTCCAGTTCAGAACATGCAGAAAATACTCACCAGATCCTCGGGGAGGGAACAATGATCTGGGGTGTCAGGCTGCAAAAGAAAACCAAGTCTCAATTAGGTTTCTCCACAACATACAGTCACTTAAGGGTCAATTTCCCTTCAACATGAAACTTTAACCTATTAAACTGGCAAAGAAAAAGGTCTGAGCAGTGAGGGTGTGGGAAGCTATGTACTTCTGTTCAGTGTTTCTCACAGAAACATAAGGACTGTCACAGCAGAGAGCAGTTTAACAAGATAAACATTTTGAACAGAGATTCAGCACGGCATTGTACAACTGAAGATGCACATAAGACAGATAACTCAGTAATTCTAACCTTGACATACTGTCTAGAGACCTTGTGATGTGTGCAGTGACCAATGGGTACTACAGAAAAATTTAGGGCTACAGATACAGTTCAGTGGCAGTTTGCTTACCTACTATATATGAAACCTTGGTTTCAATCCCTAAACATACACACACACACACACACACACACACACACACACGGCTCTGGGGAAAAAAAAAAAAAAAAAAAGGGAAAGGAAAGGGGGCGGGTCTGGAAAGATGGCGCAGTGGTTAGCTGCTCTTGTAGAGGACCTGGGTTCAATTCCCAGCACCCATATGGTGGCTAACTACTGTTGCTAACTCCAATTCCAGGGGATCTGACGCCCTCTTCTAACCTCTGTGGGCACTGACACAAGTGCACTTACATAAGCCATTATAATCATACACATAATATAAAAATAAAATGTTTATATAAAAGAAAAATTATTCAGGCGAAGCATGATGGCATGTACCTGTAATCTCAACCCTAGGAGTAGGTAGTTCAAGGCCAGCGTGAGCTACATAGTGAGTCCAATGCTAGCCTAGATGACACACCAAGTCCAAAACCAGTCTGAGCTACGTAGAAAAATCCAGTCTCAAAGGATAAAAAGCAGGTGCAATGAAATTCAATTTTTTTTTTTT